AAAAAAAACAAAACAAAGCAAAAAGTATATTTAAAAAAACAAAACAAAACAAAAGATGAAACAAACAAAAACATACAAAAAGACAAAACCAAAACACCACAAAAAAGACAAGACAAAAACAAAGCAAAAAGTGAAAAAAAACAAAAGCAAAAAAAATTAAATAAAACACAAAAATATGGAAGCCCGTTTCCGCCACTGAATAAAAAACAAAAGAGGTAATTGCGACTTCTTATCTCACAATTCTGACTTTTTTTCTCAGAATTGCGTGATACAAACTCGCAATTCTGACTTTTTTTCTCAGAACTGCGTGGTATAAACTCGCAATTGCGAGTTAAAAAGTCATAATTGTGAGATATAAACTCGCAATTCTGAGAAATAAAGTAAGAATTGCGTGATATAAACTCGCAATTGTGAGACATAAAGTCGCAATTCTGAGAAATAAAGTCAGAACTGCGCGATATAAACTCACAATTCTGACTTTTTTCTCGCAATTGCGAGTTTATACCACGCAGTTCTGAGAAAAAAAGTCAGAATTGTGAGTTTATATCGCGCAGTTCTGACTTTATTTCTCAGAATTGCGAGTTTATATCTTGCAATTCTGACTTTTTTCTCGCAATTGCGAGTTTATACCACGCAGTTCTGAGAAAAAAAGTCAGAATTGTGAGTTTATATCGCGCAGTTCTGACTTTATTTCTCAGAATTGCGAGTTTATATCTTGCAATTCTGACTTTTTTCTCGCAATTGCGAGTTTATACCACGCAGTTCTGAGAAAAAAAGTCAGAATTGTGAGTTTATATCGCGCAGTTCTGACTTTATTTCTCAGAATTGCGAGTTTATATCTTGCAATTCTGACTTTTTTCCTCAGAATTTTGAGATATAAACTCGCAATTGCGAGAAAAAATTTCAGAATTGCGAGTTTTTATCTCGCAATTGTGACTTTGTATCTCACAATTCTGACTTTCTAACTTGCAATTGCGAGTTTATATCTCACAATTCAATGAAAAAAAGTCAGAATTGTGAGATAAAAAGTCGCAATTACCTTTTTTTTTTTTTTTTTATGTTTTTTTTTTTTTTTTTTTCAGGGGCGGAAACGGGCTTCCATACAAAAATACCAAGATTAAACAAAATTAAAGCCGACAAAGCAAAAAAAAAAAAAAAAAAACATAAAAAAAAAAAAAAAAAAACATAAAAAAAAAAAAAAAAAAACATAAAAAAAAAAAAAAAAAAACAAAAAAAAAAAAAGCAAATAATAAACCAAACAAAAAAGCAAAACAAAAGATGAAAAAAACTAAACAAAAGAGAAAAAACATACAAAATGAGAAAACCAAAACACCACAAACAAACCAAAATAAATAAATTAAACACAACAAAAAAGCAAAAAAATAAATTAAGCAAAAAGTTAAAACAAAACAAAAAGGAAAAAATTAACCAAACCAAACCAAACCAAACCAAAGACAACATCAAACAAAAAAACAAACCAAAACAAAAATAAGACCAAAACCATACCCAAAAATAAATAAAACAGACCAAAAAGCAAAAACAAAAGAAATTTCTTTAATTATTAATGTTTAAACAACAACTCAAGAACTTCCAAACAAATCAAATGTTAGCTTGAAACCTGAAGTGTTTTGAATCAAAGCAACTTAACCTCAGCCTAAAACTGTTTATTTGTATAAAAATGTAATAGAATATCATAATACCGAATAATTTTGATGTTATTTGTATTAACTTATTTTACCTTTTGTGATGCATTCCCCATGGATCTCCTTGAAGTTTCGGTCACAAGTGCACTTGTATGAGCCCTTGGTGTTGGTGCAGTACTGCGAGCAGCTTCCGAATCGCAGACACTCGTTCACCTCTGAGGAAAGAGAGGAACACGTCCATCCATCAGCCTCTCCCACACGTTCTCCAGTGACATTTTTAACAGCGCTGCAGGGATGTCACTGTTTGGGATTTCGGCTAAATCTCAGCTATCTGCGTTCAGCGCCTGCTGATTTCTAGACTTCCTGTTACGCTCAGTGAGATGACCCTGAAGCGACCGCTGACATACCTCCAACAGATTAATGCCAGCGCTGGAACCGAATACAAAGAGACTTTTGCATTGTAGGCTTTGTACAAAAGACCGGGATGCGCTAGGGGCAAGTATTTGCATTGTGTCTTTGCATTTTATCACAAAATACCAAACCGGATGTCATTTATTTTAAAGAAAAATAGCACTGGTACATTTTTCAAGCAAAATATTTCACCAAAAGTATTTGGTTATAAATAAACAACCAATAGATATGCAAGGCTTTTACAGAATGATTTATTATATCATAAATCAGCTAATGCTCAAAACGCAAGTGGAAATGACCTACACTTGATAAATCTTTGAATCATGTCTGAGAACCTTGTTGACAAAAAGAAAAATTGACCAATTATAAATCATTTAAAATCGTAAAATGCTCAGCATACTTCAATATACTGCAGAATCAGTATCTGAATCAGAATCTGCCTAAAATTATGTAAAAAAAAAAACCTATACAAAGTGATGTGACATCAAAATACATCAGAAATCAGAACTAAAAAAAAAA